CTGTTTCTACATAATCCTTTTATGGACAGAGCTGTAGGTCAGCTTCCTGTGGTCTTATTTCATAAGAGACAGAGACAGACAGAGGAAGATGGAAGAAGAGAATAAGATATTTTCCCATGTGGCCTTTCCCATGTGGCCTGTATAATTTTTTGTCATAGACAGTGAGGGAACAATAAAATAGAAAACTCATTCAAATATGTAAGCTCCTTAAAAGAAAAAAAAAATTGAGTGGCTTAACTAGACTGCCCTTGCAAGTTCTAACGTTACTTGTTTTGCATGCAAGTCGTCTTTCATGAAATTTATTTATGTGTGGTAAAATGCTGAGTGTAAATAACTGAAAAGCGCGTTATTGCATAGATGAATGATCTTTCTGTGCAATATTTATAAGTTTGCACACTTTGCCTAACCACTGGAAAAAAACAGTTTGACGTAACTCCGAAATGTCCTTGGTGTGAAATCTGAGTAAAGGTAGTTTGTGGCTTCCAACAGTCTTTTTTGAGGCATGCAATTTGAATGCCTGCGGTCACTTGCATATTTTTACTGTCATGAGGCTAAATTGGCCAAAGAAACATACAGTAGCTGTTGAGATCTTCTCCTAATTTTTGCCAGCTCTCTGATGCTCCTTTTTTTCTGAATAGGTTTCCAAACTCTCAGTCTTGATGCTGGGAAATTAGTGTGATGAAATGCTTATATTTACAAGGGTGGACTTTATATAAATGCTTTCAGCATCTCTGTCTGTAGCAGAGATCTAGGCTGATACAAATGTCAAAAGAAACGTATTTTAGGAGATGAGAAGCTCTGTACTTCATGTATTGCAGCATTGCTGTCCTCCCCAGAAACAAGCACTGCTGGAAGGGAGTGCTGCCTGAAGCAATGGTAGCTGTCTGGTGTGATGTGCCTTGCTCTGGAAGGCTGCAAGGAAGGTGGTGTTGTGCAGATAAACTCAGGAGGTGAAGTGCCCCAAATCAGCAGTTGGATACACAGCTTGGGCACAAAATTCAAACACACAGCTGTGTCTTCAGGTTTGGAGCTGTGTTCCAGCAGTCGGCTTGGATGTTATGCTGCTGCTGAACCAAGTGCGTGTTTGAGCTGAGAAGAAACAGAACGAACACGCAGCAGAGTAGGATGGCACTGTAATACAGCTAACTGGTGCCTGGAAGATAATCAGTCTTTGCAGTGGAAGTTATTATTTTAGTAGTATGACATATATGCACCTGTCTGCGTTAGGAAGTGCTGTTAGAGAGCGTACCAAGTGTGATATTCAGCCCTTGTTTTCACTTGGTGCTTTGGCCATGTATGCTTTACAAGACAGTAGTTGCCATGAATTGGGGCCATACCACGGTCAACAACAGTGTGGTTTGGGTGGACCTTTTGCCATGTATGCTTATGTTTTTAGACCAAGCGGTACGTAACATCAAAGGGAGATAAGGTGGTATTTGTTTCCCTGGATCTGTGATCAAACTTGCTTTTGAGAACAGATTGCGCTAGCACTTGAAGATCTGATTTTTTAATTTTTTTAATTTTTTTTGCCAGAGTGGAAGAAGCTGGCTTTTGATTCCATACCTGTGTTGCTATCTGTGTGCATTCCCCGCTCCAAAGTTCCCTCCTTGTGTCTAGTAAGGTAAAATGTACGTAGAGGAATTACAGGACAACTAAAGAATGAATAATTGTGATTCCACATGAAGGGAGGCAGTGTTGTCTCCCATATAACTGTGAAACTGTTCTAATTGGTGCTGTCCTTGTTACTGGTTCTGTAAACACTGCCTAACATGCGAAGGACAATTGCATGTTCTGTAAGGAACAGACTGTTTTATATGGTTTCCAGACTTAGAAAAGGAGAACAGAAGGCACTGTTGAGAATAGTGATCTATGAATAGAGTAGTTATACTAGGGTATCTGTCAGAATAATTGAGTTTATTCAATGCATTGCAGAAATCAGTGGACTCTGTGACTAGTCACTGGTGGAGGTAATGCAGTTCTGACTTCTCTGCTGCTTTGAATCTGACAGCATGCACTTAGTCCCCATTGTGCCTGCCTGCTGCTGGGTGCTGGCTGTCACATCACAAGCATTTTTAGCCTGCTCATTCTGGTTTGTCCCGCAGCTCAGCTGCCACCCCTGGAAGCAGCTGTCTGCTGTGGAAGTAAGGCATGGTGTGGCTGGCAGGGTGTTGAGAGCAGGCAGTGACACCGCATCCCAACTCACAGCAGAGCAAAGCCTGTGCTGTTTCTGTTTCAAGTATCTTAGTACCAGGAATGAAATCTGTTGCTTGCCACTGCACCTATTCATCCTCAAGCAGTATGTAATGTGGTGGTGGAATCCAAATGCTCCGGTACTCACAGGAGACTTCTGAGAGTAGTGAATTGACTACTTGCTCAGTGCTCTGCTGGGCCTTAGGGAAGTCTGGTAGCAAGGAGCTGTGCTGTGGGTGTGGGGAGGCAGCTGCTGGGTGCTGGCTAGGTGGTATTTCTGTCTGTGCTGAGCCTGAAGCTTCATTGATCGCTCTAAAGAGTGTGAGGCAGAGTAAGAAGGAAGGCAGTTCTCCTGGGTGCTTCCTGTTTGCTTTCTGTGCTCCTCTGCCAAGTAATTTAGAGCTGGGAAGATGACAGCTATCTCTATGATTCAAGAGGCTGCAGCAGCCACATGATGACCAGCATGCATTACTTCTGGGCTGTGCCCTCTGTGGCATGCTGTGCCAGCAGGTCCTGTGCAGCGCAGGGTGGGAACTGTGTGTGTTGCAGTAGATCACTGTAACTGCTTTATGAGTAATTAGATGTCTAATTTTCGGTCAGCTTTTATTCAGTCCTTTAAGTTTGTCAGTAATTGCTGAGGCCTGAAACATCAGACAATTATAATACTGACAGCTGCCCCTGGTTTACTACTTCTCCCAAGTAACAGGCCAGGCCATATACCTTTATTTAATAACACGAAGTAAGAGAGGAAAAGAACAACAAACCTACAGAAGTTCATCTCACTTCACCAAAGACTTTTTCTTTGTCCTTCTTCTTTGTCCTTCTCTCAGTCAGCACTGTATCTTAAAGAAGCATGGCATTTTAAATAAAATTGGTAGGTGCTCAGTTGCAGTCCAGTGGGTGCTATTTCTGTAGATCTCATCCTAACTGACAGAATCTGCTTTAGTGATGGCTTGAGATCCGTCTAACTTCAACAGGTGTTGCTTGTAATTGTCTTTTTGATGATTTTTCTGAAGAAATAGCATCTTATTCTCTTCTGTTGTTTTTAAGTTTGCTATCTATTGATAGATCAGTGCCAAAATAAACGTGGTGATTTAGAATATTGTAAATGGGAGAGCATCTGATGTGTTGCAGTGTCACAGGAGCTTTGTGAACGTTCATGGCTTGGGGATTGTGGTGTTGGTGGATGGATCTCAGCTGCTTACGTGGATGCACCAGGAAACTGGAAGGGGGCAGCAGCATTTTGAGCTGCATTTCTTCATTTTCTGTTGAATGTGTGGTTGACCAGCTGTTAATTGCTGTTGGTTAAATGTCATGTCACTACTGAGTGCTCAGTGTCTCACTGAACTAAGAATGCAGTAACGTTTTTCTTAATCTCTGGATCTTGCAGACAATTTCAGCGCGAGTTGTTTATTATGTGAGAGTTAATTTAAACTGTTGGCGTCAGGAGTCACATTATGGCCTTTTCTTAAAATCGATTTGAATGCAAGAACAACATGCGAGAAAAACAAACATGCAAAGACTTGCTCTGGCTTTTAGTACATGTTTGTTTGTAGTAATTGTCTGTGTTGTAGCACAAAGTCTGTGCTGATGTTGGGAGATAATAAAGCTTGGATGTTAAGAAGTGGATTTAATAGGGGGAACATAAAGGTAACAGAAAGAAGCTGAAATTTCCAGAGTCTTGTGATCAGGAAGGTAGTGCAGCAGGGCTGAATCCCTTACGCTTTCAGACTAAGCCGAAGACTTGATTTCTATGCTAATTTACCCCAGATTTAATTCTGAGTGGAAGTTGAAATGCTGATGCATGCTGTTGCAGTGCACTTGGTAAGCAAGGCAGATTTATTACTTTGAAGCAGTTGTCTTAAGTAATGAAAGGGGATTTTATTCTCCCCTTTTCTCTGCTAGAGGTTGTCGTAGTGGACTAACTGGTTTCAGTGTGGTCTGCAGGCTGGAATTAAGCTCTTGTGATGCTGGGAAGAACAAGTATTTTGACTAAATTGTTAGGTACTCACGTTGCTCCTATTTCATGGTTAATATTAAAAAAAAAAAACACACACAAAAAAAAAAAAAAAAAACACCAAAAAAAAAAAACCCCACACCTAACAAACCCATTTCACTATTGCAGAAGAATTTTATAATTACTAATGTGCATGAAAATTGGAAATTATCTGGTAACGTTTGTCTACTTAGATGAAAATATTTTCATTTTTAAGTATGCTTAAAGTATGTATTTATGACTTTGAACTGTTTTTCTCCACTGAGACTAAAAGAGCTCTAAATAACTGCTTGGATCTGTACCCCTGGATTTAACGATGTCTCAAGCTGTCTTTATGATTTTCAGTGATGATTTAGTTACAGATCACTGTATCAGTGCATATTAGCAATAATGTGATACTGATGTTAGTGACTGTAGTGAAACTGTTAACTTCTGTGAACAGAAATGTCTGAGTGTGCTATCAGTAGTCCAGTCAGTAGTGATGGTGAGATTTTGGTAGTAATTTCAGTTAAATTTCTGTCCTAGACATCTATAAGCACAAATGTTAGTATCTTCTCCAGCAAAAGGCTGTGAACAGCTAGAAATAGGGAGGGAATGCATCTGTTTATAAAAGCCAATCTGAAAGCCTTAATATGGAGGGTTTTTTAATATATTATTAAAAACAAAAACAAAACCAAAACAACCCTTAAATGCAGTCTTTCTATCCATTAATACCTTCTGGCTAACACCTTACTCCTTGTTTGCCCCATTAGCATTTTTAGCCCATATTGAGCCTGACTTGATCGTTTATGGTTTTTTTTTTTTTTTTTCTCAGCCCATAGGTTCATATCTCTTCCTGTATCCATGGAGTCAAGGTTATAGCTCCAAGTGAAGAACTCTGCAAGAGGAGTTTTTAGAGAAGTGCTACTGTGGACCTGAGAAAAAAACGTAAGTCACGCAGTCAGCATATTTTTGCTACAGTTGAAGGGTATATTCTAGTAACTTTGATTCGCTGGTAGTTGGGGTTGAGGAATTGTTTTTGTCACAAATTATATAAACCAGATTTTTTTTGAAGAGAAATCCTTTGAAGTACACCATCTTTCCTCAGTTCTGGTGTTACATCTGATTTTCCAAAATCACTGTGTAAGCAAGCCATTGAAATTGTGCTTAGATCTTCTTACAGTTCTCACAGTAGGCAGATGTGAGAAACATGAGGCATGAAATGAAGTTTTATGTGCTGTGTAATCATAAGGAATACAAATTGTGTATGGACAAAATGGTACTGAAAAGCTGGTATTGTTGAAGAATCCTGATTAGAATGTTGGAAAAGGGACTATGGTGACAGGTTTCTCACATAGCTTGTGAGTTCTTGGCAAAGGAGCATATGGGTTGTATTAGAATCTGGAGAGGATGCAGAATATTTTTAAGCACACTTAACTGTTGTGATTTCACTGGTTCTGTCATTAATACCAGGGGAAGAATTCAGAAAACACTGCATCCTGTGTGCTTAAAAGAACATGGATTTAGTTCATATCTGATTTAATTAAGCTAGCTTCTGATTTGATTACATTTGTGTAAAGCAAACAGATTTGAGAAATAATGCTATTAGTTCCAGACGATGTTTTGCAAAGAGAGCTATTATGAGAAAACAGTTATGAAACAACTCAGACTTGCAGTGGACAGGTGTACATATGTTGACACGAATTCCTAACATAATAAATAAGAACTGCATTTCTGGTGAAGAAAAATTTGTTCTTAGGAGCCTTAATAAGGGGTGACCAAAAGTTCTGACTGCCAGATTCAGTGACTGTATCATTTCTCTGCGGTCATTTTCATTATCAAAGCCACCATTTTCCGCAAAAGCTTAACAATGACCTTCACAATTTTACTTTGAGTTTTAAATTAATATTAAAAACGCCTTTGGTAACAGTTAATCTTCTTGTTGCATTGGCTGCAGACAAAAGCATGGCTGATTTAGTGTGAACAAGCTGAAGAAAATGGAGAGATGAAAGGATCTTAGTTACATTTACTCAACTGCTGGAGGATGGGAGCAAGAAAAGTGACTTGAATTGCTGTACAAGAACTGTCAAGCGGTGATGGGTTTGAATGCTTCTGCCTGCTGCAGTGACAGGATTAAAATGGAGGCCTCTGTTGTCTTGTGAACATTCTTATAGCTCAGTTTTCCTCATACTTACTTCATGGTAGTTTAAGCAAACTTAAGATTTTCTAATTGAGACTGACTAGTGCACACATGGTTTGCTGCCATACTAATTCAAATTCAGTGAGCTATCTAGTACACAAATTCCTGTGCTTGTTTTTGTTTAAATGTTTTACAGACAGGAGGGGAATCAATTCTTTGAAAGCTGATATTTTTTTGATAACTGCAGGACAAGGGGAAATGGTTTTAAGTTGAGGGAGGGGAGATTTAGGTTGGATGTCAGGGGGAAGTTCTTTACAGAGAGAGTGGTGAGGTGCTGGCACAGGCTGCCCAGAGAGGTTGTGGATGCCCCGTCCCTGGAGGTGTTCAAGGCCAGACTGGATGGGGCCCTGGGCAGCCTGGTCTAGTATTAAATGGGGAGGTTGGTGGCCTTGCATGTGGCAGGGGGGTTGGAGATTCATGAGGTCCCTTCCAAACCTGGCCATTCTGTGATTCTGTAGCTGTGGACACTTCTGCTTCTGTGGGCTTGGGAAAGAGAATTTCTTACTGCATGCAGTGAGCCTGCCCCTGGTGGTCTTGCTGTGGCCAAATACCAACAACTCTGGTATGATGCTGTGAAAGGTGGAGCACAGGAGTGGCTAGCTGAGTTTGTGGTAAATGGACATGGGCTCGTGAACTGGGCTGGTTTGGAACATGGGCTCGGTGGCTCAGTGTTTGGTGTTCTTAGAGAGAATACACAGGGAGTGTTCCCAGGGAGGGTTAAGGGTAAGGCAGAGGTGAAATAAGCCTTCCTGGCGCGTAGACTGGGTACTTTCCTGAATGAGCATTTCGGATGTCACTGCTTATAGCCTTTGGAAATTCTGTTCAAACAATTATTCTTTTAAAATGTATGGTTTTTGTTTTTAAAACATCTCGGGGCAGGGAACAGTGCAAGTTAATTGCATATCATAAAAGTATTCCTCTTTTATTTTGAAATCTGGACTGCTGTAGAATTTGTCTCCAATTTCTAGAAAGTAAGAAGTGGAAAAAGCATTATTACCTCAGGAAAGCAGCTTGCTTGTGGGGAGAGTTACAGAAAGGGCAGTGCCAGAAAATGAACGGGAAAGACCTTTGTACCTAACATCTCCTTGTCCAGCCATGTACTTTTAATTGTTGTTACCCTTTTGAACTTTTTTGTTTGATTTCAGGAAGGATGAAATAACTACAAGATCTATGCAGTATTAAAGATGAGTGTAGCCCGTTTTATTTTTGTGGTGGCACCTTTCTGGTTTTATTCTATTCCTGCTATAATGGCCTGTGATACCGTCCACTTATTTGACAGTGACATGATCTATTTTTGGAGGACTAAACATGTGCCTCACTATCTTCTGTAAACAAAAGTTACTGCTGAATTCGTATTTACTGTTATTTACAGTTAAGTGGTGTTCTCTTTTTTTTTCATGTGCTTTACACTGCCTTTCTTATCATGGTTGTTCCTTGTTATGAGATTCTCTTGTCATCTCTACAATCAGTTTAAATTTATCTACTCCAGAACATTTTGCGTCAGCCGAAAAGTCACGTAACTATTTGCTTTTGAGAGCAGACACAAATAAAACAAAAATCACAGTTCATAGCTGTTTGGCTTCCTGTTCTTGTCCTTTCCAGCATGCTGCTATCCTTTTAGATTTACCTGGTTTGATTTACCTAGCTTTCTATACATGCCATTCTTGCTGACAGACTTGTCAACACTGTGATTCATTCCCTCTATAGATGTCTCAAAGTCAGTAAAAATGTGTAGCTTACTGTTCCAAATACATTCAGAATGTGGGCTGTGCAGACTGATGGACTGGACTTCAGGCAGTGCAGAGCACTATTGCTGGATCAGTTCTCCTAAATGCTGTGGCTTTCACTTTCATGTTGAGCACATCCATTCTGTGGAACATAAGGCCTCAGTATGGGTATACCTATTTTTACCTTGATTAAATAGCCTTTACTAGTAATCTGATTTAGTGTTGTGTTTTTGGGTTTTTTTTTCTTCCCAATTTCTGCTGTCACTTTACATCCAGAACCAAAAGAATGTGCCTTCCTGTCCTGCTGACCTAACAGTAAGTAGGCAAGGATCAGGCAAGTAGTGCAGAAGTATAATTTGTTATTTGACCTTTCCGACTTATAAGTAGGAGATGTTTGCCATACTGGTTACAACTTTGTCTGTTCAAACATTGTTTGCATGGTTGTGAAATACTGGTACTACTGAAGTAACTCCAGTGTAAAAACCTGAGATTTATGTGACCGATTAACCGACCAAGTAGGCTTACTGTAATTTAATATTTTCTTTCGGTAGAGAAAATGCGTTTATATTTGTTGGTGCTGACAATTTCAGACTTTGGGTCCTGGACTTGCACGATTAAAAGAAATCTCGTCCCATTGTTTCAGACCTTTAAGTTCTTTTTCTTAAAAACAAACAAACAAAAACAAAGCAAAACAAAACCCAAAAAAACAAACCCAAAACCGAACAACAAAAAAGAAAAATCTAGTATATTTTCTGAGTTTGACATGTACTTGGAAAGATGGTTTTTAAACCTGGAATGGTTTTTTTTGTTTTTTTTTTTTTGTTTTTTTGTTTTCCAAAACTGTTTTGAAATCCAAGAATTAGCTACCCTAAATGTAAATGATTCACTTGGAAGAGAAATGGCTTGGTTAGTTAGCATTCGTCACATGCATCCAGATGAGCTGCAGAGCAGAATTGCCTGAACTGCTTTCCACAATGCACAGCTGGTGTTTTAGAAAACTTGTGCTTATTTTCACTTGTTTTAGGTGGTATAATTCGATTAGCTTTGTGTAGCATGTTGAGATGTGCTTTTTGCTGTTGGTTGACAGTCTTTTGCAACGTGATCACCTGTAACAAAAGGATTGCTGCCTTGTACCTCTGCACCAAAACCTAGAAGCAAATTGTATGGAGCTGTAGTCAGAGCTTGCATTGGCTGCAGAGTCTGAATTAGGACATTTGCTTTAGAGTAGTCATTACTGGAGAAAATGAGGATTGTTTTTCTTGTATTAGTTAGATTTTGCACAAGGAGAGGCAAGTGGTTTGTTTGGCTGATAAAAGGAACATGGCATCTTAGGAATACCTTCGGTTTTACAGTGATCAAACTTGAATTTCTCTGTCAGTTCAACTTCTAAGAGTCTGGAAAAGTGGGGCTGCTGTGCTGGTACTTCTGTTGCATACTGTTGTGGAGCACTGAACTCCACATTCTGTTGCTGCAGCATGCAGATAGCTGTTTGAACAGACTGGTGTATGATCTTAAAATATTAATTCTGAGCTTTAGGTCAGGATGTGCAGTAGCTGGATGTTTTAGCCACCAATTGTTAATAGTGTGTTGGAGTAAAATTCGTGATTTCATTTCCTGGTATTTCCTAAGTTGTGTACAATTTTTAACTCTGCTTTTTGCCAGTAAGACCATGTTGTTTTCACATTTTCTCTTTTATTCACCCTCAGCTGTGATGGAGAAGGAAAAAAGAGTGTTGAGAAGCAGCTGTAGAGTGTTCACATGATGGGTTACCTAAGCTCAGGTGTGAGAGCACAGTCTGATAGATACTTGCATCTTTATAGATAGATTCTTGCATCTTTGGAAACAGTTGTTTCCAAAGTGATCAGGTTGACTGTTTTAAAGGTGCCAACTTCTGCACACTGAGGACAAATGTCAGCTTTCAGCAGATAGACAGTACCTCAACTTACATGATGTCAGAACATCAGAGTTTCTAAGAACACCATTAGATAAATAGATGTTATGATTATAGCCCAGATCCCTTT